AGTACAGTACTAAGAAGGGTAAAGGTGCAGTATTGAAATTCCTGGCTAACACCACTGCTGGTCAAAAGGCCTGCACACTAGAGGGAGCTCCAGACAGCTCTTACTAGAGAGTATTTCTCCTACTCTTACACGCTGGCCAGACACCTCTGATTGGCACGGTTGGCTATGTATGCTGGGATATAGTTCAGACCTACGTACCCGACACCAAATATGTGGCCTGGTGACTGATTAAGTGTGGTGAACCCATTTCGACTGCTGGGTGGAGAGAAAGATGGAGGGATTTAATAAACATCCCCAATCGTTATCTTTGGTTATTTCAGTAAAGTCACCACGTAGAATGAGAATAAAATAATAAAAAAGCACAATAAAATTCTCACGACGTTTCGGCCACAACGCAAGCGGCCGTCTTTAGGTGAAAGGAACAGACCTGTCGGGACGACAGAGCTTCAATGAACGATGTTAAGATTCGTAGCGACTTTTAAGCTGGCACCTTGACAAAGGGGTTTACATATCAAATAGCTGAGGGATTAGCTTGTGACTGGTTACAGGAATGGCTATGTTAAAGTCAAAACCTACACATCCACAGAGGCAACTAGTAATTTAGCATTGAAATAGCTAAGGGATTTGCTTGTGACTGGTCACAGGAATGGCTATGTTAAAGTCAGAACCTACACATCAACAGAGGCAACTAGTAATTTAGCATTGAAATAGCTAAGGGATTAGCTTGTGACTGGTCACAGGAATGGCTATGTTAAAGTCAAAACCTACACATTCACAGAGGCAACTAGTTGTCTCCACGACTGCGCCCTGGAGGTGGAACTGTCCATCTGTGGATTGCAAGTCTAGCATGGCAACCATTACACCACGGTAGTATATTCATCGGTGAAAATATATTAATGACTTCAGTCTTTTCAGACTGAACGGGGCAAAAACAGAATGTTTGCACACACGCAAATATATGCGAGCCTTGTGCACTTATCGGGGCAATTGTCAGCAAGTGTCTATTAAAGGCGCAAGACGATGTAATTCCTTCCAGAACGCAAACGATGATCAGACTTTGCAGTGGATGAATTCGTACAGCCACAGTGTAATCGCGTCGTCACAGGGGATTCAGCCGTCGAGGGGAATTTTCTTTACAATTCATGCACACTCTCAAGTGCTCATGCAGCAGCAGCAGCAACAGCAACGATGTGTCTCGTCTTATTTAATAAACGGCAAGAGACGCATGTGTATGTGGACGTCATGGAGCGTGCTGTTTTGTTTTATCCATCTAGAATGAAAGAAACACGCTAGCTTCACTGTAATATGTTGCAAAAAAAACACAATCTGCACTTTTAATCAGAAGCTAGGGGCAGTGACACGGTGGTTAACACACTGCGTTGTAAATGATGCAAAGTGGGCTTGATTACAGGCCCCTGGCTAACGCCAGTTACGAAGTGATATCTGAGCTGGTCCTGAGCCTTCTCACTTCTCGAACCTGAACTGGCCAGCATTGGTCAAGTGTGCTCAGTGAACCTCCATGGCCAACACAAGTGCGAGGAGGCATTGATGCAATAGTGGGTTGATGAAGGGCTAACGTATTATTACTCGCTTTTTTGCCCGTCCAAGGACGGGTGTATATTGCAGCAAATCTGAAATATTCAATAGAAAAATTGTTCAACTCATGATTATTCTTTGGGTCTTTGGGTAAAGTCGCGTAGATAGGTTCAAAGAAAATAGCAAAAAAGCAACAAAAGAATGCGACGTTTCGATCGCAACGCAAGCGTTCGTCATCAGGGAGAAAAAGGAGGGGGAAAGCTGCTGAGGCAGGCTGTTTTAAAAGTCTAAAATGGGTGTAGCCCAAGGGTCATACACGAAGTGGGCGGGGCTAGTTATGTTAATGTGAGAAATTAGCATAATGTTAATGTAAGATCGGAGGGAGACATCCACGACGAGGGCAACGTCCACAACGAGGTGATTATGTTAATGTGAGAGATTAGCATGTTAACGTGAGAGATTAGCATGTTAATGTGAGATATTAGCATGTTAATGTGAAAGATCAACATGTTAATGTGAGAGATTAGCGTGTTAATGTGAGAGATTAGCGTGTTAATGTGAGAGATTAGCATGTTAACGTGAGAGATTAGCATGTTAATGTGAGAGATTAGATGTTAATGTGAGAGATTAGCATGTTAACGTGAGAGATTAGCATGTTAATGTGAGAGATTAGCATGTTAACGTGAGAGATTAGATGTTAATGTGAGAGATGAACGTGTTAATGTGACAGATTAGCGTGTTAATGTGAGAGATTAGCGTGTTAATGTGAGATATTAGTATGTTAATGTGAGATATTAGCGTGTTAATGTGAGAGATTAGCATGTTAATAACATACATTAACATGCTAATCTGTCACATTAACATGCTAATTTCTTACATTAACATGCTAATCTCTCACATTAACATGCTAATCTCTCACATTAACATGCTAATCTCTCATATCAACATGCTAAAAGAGATTAGCATGTTAATAACACACATTAACATGCTAATCTTTCACATTAACACGCTAATTTCTTACATTAACATGCTAATCTCTCACATTAACATGCTAATCTCTCATATCAACATGCTAATCTCTCACATTAACACGATAATCTCTCACATTAACATGCTACTCTCTCACATTAACACGCTAATCTCTCACAATAACACACTAATCTCTCACATTAACATGCTAATCTCTCACATTAACATGCTAATCTCTCACATTAACACGCTAATCTCTCACATTAACATGCTAATCTCTCACATTAACACGCTAATCTCTCAAATTAACACGCTAATCTCTCACATTAACACGCTAATCTCTCACATTAACACGCTAATCTCTCACATTAACATGCTAATCTCTCACGTTAACACGCTAATCTCTCACATTAACACGCTAATCTCTCACATTAACATGCTAATTTCCTACATTAACATCACTAGCCCTGCGATCGAAACGTCGTACTTTTTTGTTATTTTGTTATCTTAAAACTTTCGTGACTGCAGGAATTCATCTTCTTGGTTCTTGCGGTAAAGTCGCATGGGAAATAAAAATAATAAAATAAACTTTAAATAATGAAGACCGCTTGTGTTGTGATCGAAACGTCGTGCGTTCGTTTGCTTTTATTATTTTCAATGTATTCGTTTTATTTTTTATTTTTTTATATTTTTTATCTACGTGACTTCACCGAAAGAACCAAGAATATTTTCTGTAATTTTTTGTTATTTTCTTTGAACCAATCTACGTGACTTTACCGAAAGACCCAAAGAATATGAATTCTTGCAGTCACGAAAGCTTTAAGTCAAGATTCAGCTCATGATTATTAATGGTGGGGGGTTTCCCCATGTGGAGTGACGTCACCCGCTAATTGTTACTGGGGAGGGGTGCAGTATGTTGAGTGACCTCAACCCCTCATGGTTATTGTGGAGGGGTGCGGCATGTCGAGTGACGTCACCCGCTCATGATTATTAATGAGGGGAGGGGCATGTGGAGTGCGCGACCTTCTTGTGTGAATATTAATGAGGGGGGTGGGGGGGTGGGGGCTCTTTTGCAGTGACGTCACGCACGGATGTGGCACTGTGCTGCGTGGATTTATTTTTTTACCGTCACTTTCTGTCAAGAAACGTCGTCATATTTGAAGCGACTTTGCATAATAAATTATTTAATTCATCTCGACCTTTGCGTTCGTGTAAAAATCCACCCACTCATGAATATTACTGAGGGGGGGGGGGCACATGTGGAGTGACCTCACGTGCGGGGCTGAGAGAGATTTCTGATTGATTATCGTGGGTAATTATTGAATCAGATCGATTTCAACAATTATTTCCGAATTGTGTATTTTATTTATTCATATTGCATTTGAAATATATTACTTCTATTCATTACCAAATTTTTATATACATAACTTATTTACAGAACAAAATAAAATAGCAAGTTTGTCATATGAAATCACATACTCTGGAATTGGTAATGTAAAAAGTACATTAACTAATCTTGTGTCCATCTGGACATTTGTGAAAAAAGAGATTCATAGCTCATCGGATTTCTCTATGATAAATTCAGATTCTGACTAAATATTCTGATTCTAAAACATAACATCCATATATATAAAAGGCAAAGTTGTGATTATGTGTGTCTGTTCAAAATGTTTAGCGTACTTCCTGACATGCAACAAACTGGTAATTTGCCATGTGGGTACTTTACAGACTGTACACCATGCAAAAATGATAAAATTACACTTTTTTTTTAGGTGGGGAGCTCAATAATGCATATTTTTTGCGCGGCAAGTGAGCTGTGACGTCAAATCTGTCATGTGACTCGAGCATGTGGAAGCGTAACGCATTGCAGTGTAGTGGTTAGCGCGCTGTGTGTGTGTAATCTGTGTGTGTAATCTGTGTGTGTGTAATCTGTGTGTGTGGAAGCGTAACGCATTGTAGTGTAGTGGTTAGCGCGCCGCCCTACGAACCCGGCGACCCGAGCTCGATTCCCGCTCACGGCCACCACCGGTGACGATAATTTCAACCGGTCCTGGGCCTCCCCTAGGTCGACTCAGCCTCAAACGAGTAACTTGTGGTGTGAACATCGCCACTGGGGAGACAAAGGCGGCCGGGTGTGGTGAACCCAAGTCCCGGGCGAAGCCGGGTAGCACAGCTAGTAATTGAATAAATTAATGGACATCAGAACATGTTGCCACAAAAACAGGCTGACGTATTATTCATAACGAAATGTATATATATTGTTTGCAGGACACACTAAACAAATTTCATATTACCCGGTACTCACATTTGGATTGGCTACGTACGGCGCGAAAGAACTTCAACGTACATACGTACATGAACAGCAAAACGAATACGCAGTTACTTCCACTGTAACAGCGATAACCCACAGACCCCGTGTCAATCGACGGCTCAGATCGTCCGATTCACAGAGCGGTGCTCCCACCCCACGCAGAGCAAACACGGTTGTTACTCACTTTCAACAAAGTCCCATGAGTCCTGGGCCAAACGTGCGTAACATCGCCTCCTGTAAATGTAGTCGGGATTCATATATATAGATAATAAGTTAACATAAGTGCCGACAGATGCTCGCACGGTAAGGTTTTAACAAAGCATCACCGTGCCTACATCCTCGTGTTGCGAAGGCAAAGAAAGGCGTGCAAGTCAAAGTGTTAGACGGAACACAAACAACACCGATTGCCAGACAACCCACTCTTACCTGGCGGGTGGCGTCACTGTGGTTAATGATTACCGAAGGCGGACTGCTTTCGTCGACCTGAGTTCGGGCTGATGTTTGCACAATCACAAATATGAATCTGATATTGACAAGATGATTTCATAACGCATGCAAGCCTTCCAAGCTGTTCAAACATTGCTCTCATGCATTCACACGTGCACATTTCTGAGTACCTGGTATACATGTTGACAATGTCGACAAACGTAACCAAAGGCTATAACCGTGGTGCCTTAAACCATGTGTACGCCACATCGTATTAACAGCCAGGACTTTTAGGCCACAAATACATTGCTTATAATTTGTGGTTTTCCTACTCTAGAACGTAGCACACATTCCACACATTTGTCAACATAACGGACTATTATATTAGAAATATATCCATATAATCAATGCCGACAGTGGCTGGCACTGAACTGAACTGATTTGAAAAGCCTGGCACCTGCCATGAAATGGAATTTATACCACTGTCTCAGTGCCTTAAAGTGTGGCGAGCCCTCTACCACGTGCTGGTTTGAACAATATACACTTGGACTTTTTAATGAATCCCATCTACTGCATGTAAAACAAAAATCACGAAACAACCAAACTCATCTAATCACTGAAGAGCAATGTGCTTTCACACAGAGGCCGAAAGGCCCTTACTTGCCTACACAGACTGTTATGGAAAGTGCTGTTAGCGAGCACCTACGAAGGCCGGGCACAGCACAAAAGTGGGTGGTGTGGCCAGGCACATCCACGGCTACCTTTGTCTCCCTCGTGCCGATGTTTAAGTACTGAACCAGGTATTGTACAATCTAGATCTGAAGTTTTCGTGACTGCAGGGATCCATATACTCTTTGGTTCTTTCGGTAAAGTCACGTGGGTATAAAATAAAAAAATAAATTAAATCACGACGTTTCGGAAGCAACACAAGCGTCCGTCATCAGGTGGAGCAGCCACAGCAAGAAACAAATTGCTGTAGTGGGCCAAAGAGCTGCTTGTGACAAGAGGCCATATAAGGCAAGAGAGGGGAGGAGCCAGGGAAGAGAGAGGGTGGGGGTGTGGGGTAGGGGGAGTGGAGCTCTGCCACTTGCACCGCAAGTGCGACACAAAGCCGGGGCTGGGAAGTGGGCGGGGCTGGGAAGTGGGCGGGGCTGGGAAGTGGGCGGGGCTGGGAGTAGGAGGCTGAAGACACTGGAAATGCGGATATGAAGGCAAACTATGAAGCAGTAAGAGGTTTTACCTGGTTAATAACATCCTTCACCACCATGGTAGTGGGGAAGGATGGTAAGCGACCATTCCTGGATGTTTTGTTCGAGAAGAAACCTGATGGTTCTCTGGGACACTCTGTCTACAGGAAAGCCACCCACACAGATTCCTATCTGAAACCTGATTCCCACCACCATCCGGCACAGAAGAATTCCATCATTAAAACACCACACCATAGGGCCCACTGCATTTCTGACCAACACCACCTGGCCAGTGAATTGGAACACGTACACCAGGCCCTTAAGATGAATGGATATTCAGACCCCATTATCCGCAAAGCTGTTTCTCCAAACATGGAGAAACAACCCCTTGAGACGCCGATCAAAACCATCACGTTACCATACATAGCTGGCGTTACCAGTACACAAAATCCGTGATCTAATCCCCATCCGTGAAGGATGCCATTCCTGACATGCAATACCCTGGAGTCTACAAACTAAGTTGCACCTGTGGTGATTGTTACATTGGGAAAACGAAACGACATATATCGGACTGTGTTCGCGAGCACAAGGCAGATCTGAAACACGGCAGGACTAACTCCTCCGCCGTGGCTGACCATTGCTATAACGCTGTGGGCTCTTATGATATTGTTTTTTTCCGAGACCAAGTTGCTCTGCAAACCTTCCGGCTACTATCAAAGGTTTGTTCATGAAGCCATCCAGATATATAAACATAGACATAACTTAAACCGAGAAGATAGATACAAATTGAGCAATCATTGGAAGGATGTTATTAACCAGGTAAAACCTTAACTGCTTTATAGTTTGCCTTCATATCCGCATCTCCAGTTTTCTTCAGCCTCCTACTCCCAGCCCCGCCCACTTCCCAGCCCCGCCCACTTCCCAGCCCCGCCCACTTCCCAGCCCCGCCCACTTCCAAGTCCCGGCTTTGTGTCGCACTTGCGGTGCAAGTGGCAGAGCTCCACTCCCCCTACCCCACACCCCCACCCTCTATCCTCCCTGGCTCCTCCCCCCTCTCTTGCCTTATATGGCCTCTTGTCACAAGCAGCTCTTTGGCCCACTACAGCAATTTGTTTCTTGCTGTGGCTGCTCCACCTGATGACGGACGCTTGTGTTGCTTCCGAAACATCGTGATTTTATTTTTTTATTTATTTTATACCTACGTGACTTTACCGAAAGAGCCAAAGCGTACAGGTACAGTACACCAAAGCCTTGCCCATCGCGGTGGTTACGTCCTTGAAAATAGCCGCAATCGGCAAATCCGCGACCCAAAAACTCAAGAGGCAAATGGGGTGCCGCGGTCGTGCGATGTTAACTACCTCGCCGGGTATACAGGAGGTCGTGGGTTCTACCCCGACCCTGACGCCTGCTGCTGCTCTATATTTGGAGTTTGCGTCTCTCTCTCTCTCTCTCTCCCCACGGTTGCCTGGATTTTTCTCCGGGTCCTCCGGTTTTCCCCTCCACATTTAGAATCAACGGCACGCGTTCAGAGTATTTGGCTGCTTATAAATGTCCACGTGATGATAATCCACTTTGGTGAAGCTATAATTTGTGACAGCCAGGTCGCGTGTGAAAACGTGATAGCTCAGTGGGCCTTACCTGCCACAATAAAAACCCAAACTACCGTTTGGTTGCCAGCTCGTAATACGACACCCCCCTTCTTTTGTTTTATGCTACTTGAAAATTCATAAAACACGATGGAATTATCTGTAGCGTTAAATTGCCACAGATTGCAGATTGATGTCGGTCGGGAATAACGTAGCGTCACAGTGCTGGACTGAAAATAAAGATACAGCAAATGGAATGCAGTTTAAAAAGAACAAGCTCAAAATAACTTTTTGCTTGATACGAATGTATGATGGCTCGGCAGCGTCACTGCGAGCAGAATGCAAACACGAGTTACCACCGAACAGTAAAACTTGTTTACGATGCACAACCATAACAGGCACATCTTGCAGACAAACCGCGATGGGCAAGGTTTTTTTTTGGTGGACAGTACTCACTCAAGGCCAAGTCGACCTAGGCGAGGCCCGGCACCGGTTCAGATGAATCGCCGCCGACATAATGAACCGGGCCGCCAGGTAGCATGGTCGTGTGCGCTCACCCACTTACGCTACCTTTCCCCCATCCAAATACAAAGATCTCCCGCGTAGCCTGTAACGTTGGGAGCAAGTTGCTGTTAGCGAGCAGCACCTGTGAAGGCCGGCACAGCACACGAGGGGGTGGGTTTCAGTTTATTTTATTTTATTTTTCAGTTTATTTATTTCGGTATAGCCCTGTGAGCCATTCGGCTTTTGAATCGGGTGCAACCACATCAAACATAAAAAAAAAACACGAACAAGAAAACATCTTAAAGTGACTATGGGTGGCCAGAACCACGCCCGGCCGCCTTTGTCTCCCCAGTGGCAATGTTTACACACCGCACCAGGTACTAGTTTGAGGCTGAGTCGACCTAGGGCAGGCCCCAGGACCCGTTCAGATAATCGTCACCGGTGTCAAGTTGACTGCTGCACTACCGCTCCCCAGACACATTCACAGAACGCACATTCCTACAGAGGGTGGGACGGCAGGGAAGGCTATTGCCGCCTGCATTGTCATCATTTAATGTCTGCAACACCTGAGGGTCAAAGGTCATGAGGCTGTTTGTTCACATTGCAGCCCCGGGTCCAATCTCTCGTTGTCTGCGGACTGTTTTTTTTTGCGAACAACGACCGTTTGTCCTTGCACAGACTCAAACCCTGGCCTTCTCGTGCCCAACATGCTGCGTGTTTTCGTGTTACCCGAAACTGTCATTCGGCGCGATGGACGCCGTGAATTCCGATCCCAGGTATGATCAGGAGAGCTAAATGCCGAAATTAAAAATGGCGATTTTTTTTCAAGGGGCAGAACCCGATCGGACGAGGTCGTCGAGTGACCCCAACCAGACATCGAAGAACTCTCAAGACCCCAAATGCGGCTTCCTCGCCAGACATCCGAGAGGGAAAATAACGCGAGCGTCGTCGCCTCACAGGGGACGCACGCCGAGGAGAGCGCAGCGGATGGCGAGTTAGCGGATGAACGCTGCTGCTGTTGTCTACGACCCTGGACGTGGCCTGCTCGCCACGTCCAACGCGCAAGGCCTCAAGGACGATGACCCTCAAGAGCGGTGGCCAATGGGCGTCTTCCGAGCCGCGCGCGGCTCTTCCATCAGAATGTTTCAGAATCACAATGTTTTATTTATACCGGAGGATGAATCCGATGTGCTATGAAGCTCTTTTTTTTTACAGACGTCCAGTAGGGGCACGTGGTAAGAATGTTGCAACATCAAACAATGCAAAAAAAAAACACAATAGCAGTGCAAAGTTCAAGATAGGCAAACAAAGCACCCAAAAACATACAAATTATACGAAACCCAATCCTACCAGGCAAAGCCCTCTAAGATATTAACTTATTTTAATCCACCACATGCGGCTCTATCGACGGGGCATAACGTAGAAAGTGATATAAACACTAGCAATGAATAATGAATGAAAGTTGCATGATAAGTTGTATGATAACATATATACACTTGGCTCTTTGCAGAACTCACGGGTACTTTTTGACTCTTGGGCTGTTACAAGCTGGCCACCCTGGCTCTCAAGTCACCCCCACCCTGCTCCTCGTTCCACCCCTCCTATTGTGACGTCAATTAGCCCCCCGTCACGTGGCATACGCTGGTGCAGCCAATGCCCTGGAGCTTTGGTTCAGATTCCATGCCATGGCCACCTGCGCCAATTTGAAACAACACACGAGACTAATTCGATGTTGGATATTCACCACGAGGCTACTGCTGAAGCCATACACGCTGGGGATGAACAATTTGGGGAAAATCTCTAATTGCGATTTTTCTGACAGATATTGCGATTTGATTTGCGATTACATTTTTTTAAGTGGATCTTCAGTTCAATGTTCACTGTGTATTAGATTTAAAACATGTGATGGAGCATTACCACGTGATACCATATTAATATGAACTGCTCTATA